ATCATCATGCAATGTAGACCAGAGGCAGCGCCACATCATCATGCAATGTAGACCAGAGGCAGCGCCACATCATCATGCAATGTAGACCAGAGGCAACACCACATCATCATTGCCTGGCGCACAGAAGAAGCGCCAGCATGCTGCCTCCACCCCGTGCCGTCGTCCGCAACGCCTGTGCACAGCCAGCATGTAGCCAGCGTCGCGCCAGCATAAAGCCAGCGTCTAGTCAAAGTCCAGCCAGCGTCAAAGCAGCATAGCACGACTGCACGCTTGACTCACTCGAGGCCAGCCTTAAGTAGCAGTTGTCAAGGCTGTCTGGCCTCGGGTGCTTTTCCCACAGTTGTCCAGATTGACTCACAGCTGAGGGCCCGGATTGTACAGTTGCAGACTTCTCCCTTGGACCTGATGCTGTCTAGGTACCTGCATACAAGCAAGTGTGTGTGCTTGACCAGTGGCCTGGGCTAGGTACCTTTGGACTTTGACTGTTAKGGTCACGACAGTTGACCAAAGTCAATTGTCACACGTCCAGGCCCTGAGTCTTTGTTTGGGGTCCTTTTTGCCCCCGTTTCGGCTTGGGCTGAGGGCGGATGAGTTGACCCTCAGTCTTTCCACGAGACATATGACATGGGTTATTGCATTCCTGCCGGCCCACTTTTCGAGTTCCATCGCAAAAATACATTAATTCTCACTTAACCCATGTTCATATGCAGCAACAATGTCAGGAGCAGTGGGTAGGAGTTCTTTCCTACTAAGCCATCCGGCTTCAGATGGAGGTTGGGACTTGAACTTTACCTTGCACTACTTCTGAGGGCGTCCTCTGCCACCTGTAGAAAAATAGCCATGTTCCAATATCCTTTCAACTTCATAGCCTCCATTCATAGAGGGTGGAAATGGAGATGGTCTATTCAGAAAGTTATAACTTTCTACGTAGGGTAGCAGTTTAGACGCATGAAAGATAGGGTATGTCCTTAGATGTGGAGGTACATCTATACGATAGGAAGGTCCATCTTCACCTCCAATCACTTTGAGAACTTCCCAGCGTCCGTAGTAGACAGGTAACAGTTTCTGAGGCACATTTTCTTCTAAGGAAAACTCTTTAGACTTAACCCAAACAAAGTCCCCTTCTTGGAACTGTGAAGGACGGCGATGTTTATTAGCTTGTTCGATCATCTGCAGTTGGGATTTCTGTATGTTTTCCTTCACCTTCTTAATGTCTTCTTCGTACAAAACTGCGAATTCACGCATACATGAGGGTAACCTTTGAATCTGGTCTCTGGTTAGTGCATCAATGGGACGCCTAGGCTTCCATCCTTTATGCAGCGCGTTAGGCGTTCTACCTGTGACAGTATGTATACTCTTATTATAAGCATTAGCAATTTAGGCAAGTTCTCATCCCAATCAATCTGGTCAGGACAAACATAAATTCGCAAATTGGCAGAGATGATTCATTTGCTTAGTTTGGCCATTCGTTTCAGGATGTCGGCCTGACGACATGGTCAACCTGGTCCCATAGACTTCCATCAACTTCTGCTATTGTAGATTAGTGAACCGAACATCTCTGTCGGATACGATGGTTTTGGGAAATCCATACTCAGAGACCCATCACATTTGAAACTTTTGAATGACTAGTTCGGTTCAAGCTTCAACAAACAAAGAAATGAACATAGCATACTTAGAGAATCTATCGACGATGACCATTACCTGACTGTTGCCGTTTCAACTCTTGGTGAGACTCATAAAGTCAATTGAAATAGACTCACCTGACTCACTTGGTATTGACAGCGGTCTCAATAGTCCCATCGAATTCTTATGTGAGGGCTTGTTCCTCTGACAGACAAGACAAGTCCGCACATACGTTAGTACATCTTCCTTCATTCCTTTCCATTCAAAAAATTCACGTAAATCGAAGTACGTCTTCTTAAAACCAAAGTGACCTTCCGCATCATGGCATTCCCTAATGATTAAACTCTTGATTGGTTCTAGGTGAGGAACACACAATCTTTCTTCGGTTTTATCCAGCAAGAAGAGTAAGTCATCAGTCATTCGATATTTCGGAAACAACTCAGGGTTCTTTCGTAAAG